TGAGCAAGACAGCCAACACTATCTCGCATATGCGAGACAGTGTACACGGTCTCACACAAAGGGTTTCATCTGGGTATGACCAATGCATCCGTGGTTCATCTCAGTCCATTTCCAGTACACCTACAACATTCCTTCAGCATATGCACAACATATTCAGGATAATTGCATTCCAGATTTGCCCTTGGAAGTCTGATATGCTCAGGGTAGTTATATTCTAAAATTACCCATGGGAGTTCAACTGCAATTCAGCTACGAGCTCCTGAGAAAGATGATCAATTTAGCGTCAACTCAACGATACGAGCGATCTCAACATTTCAAATATCAACAAATCAACTACAGTTCCTGAGTTCAACGTACGGTCAGTGACGTCGCATTACCGGAAGTCAAGAAACTGAAGCTACTTATAGGTCCTTCTATATAGTTCAACGTTGGGGGAAAAACAGGGCCTATCTTGTCCAAAGTATTTCGGACTCCTCGATAAAATACTGAGGAGGCTAAAAACTTTAGAGGGGGTATCTGTAGGTATTAAAATTTACCTATAGGTCCCAAACTCAGCTCAAGACAAAGGAAAGATGAAGAACATCATTATCTAAGTCAGAGAAAATCATCCAATACAAAAGGAAGCAAAGGAGAACGCAAAACACAACTCAAAAAAGGACTTGGAATTGTCTCACAGTTGGTGAGATAGTATCCACTGTCTCGTATATACGAGACAGTGTTTACTGTCTCGCATATGCGAGACAATGGAGGCTATCTCGTCAACTACGAGACAGCCTCCCAAGTGTTTTGGCGGTTTTATGAGGTTTTGTGGGGTCCACTTAACTCCATAACTGCTTGAGGACGATCATTAATGTTAGTGGACGGTTACATCCTGAAAAATACGCCCACTACCCATAAAAAGTACGGCATTTAACGCATTTTAAGGTAGTGGGTAGCAGTTACAAAGTCCTGGAAGCTGTCTCATTTGGCCGAGGCAGTGGACACTATCTCGCTCACATAGACAGTGACAACCAAGTATTTTGCCTCCTATTCGACGGTTATGGTTTTCAATTGCTATAAATACCCCCCTACACACTTGTGAAGGGAAACCGATGCGTGATCGAGCAGAGAGAGGCTGGCATTTGGCGAACTTTGAGAGCAAGAGAGTTCTTCATCCACTTTCAAGTAATCTCAAGAGTCCTTTGGTATTTCCTTGAGTTCAAACTTAGATTTGATCTTGAAAAGAGTATTTTTCTTACCTCGCTAAGACACTTACTTTTGTTACTGTTTCCCCGTCGAAGTATTAAGTTCAAACCTTCTTCGTATCCGATTTGGAAACGTTGCTCGGTGGTCCACGAATAACGCATCCCTCGTACAGGAAAGGAATCACACGCAAGCAAAGACTACTACATAGCAGTTTCTGTGTGTGTTACTAGGGAGCACAATTTTGTTTTCTTTATAAAAGAAGAGAGTTACACGTGTAAAGCTTATTCTTTGTTTCTTTTAAACGATTTAATAGAAGCAACAAAGAAAATTGTTCGAACAATTTTTCACTTTAGCCCTATTTAAATTTTTTATTATTAAATTCGACCCTTTTTTCTTTTATTTACCAAAACCGACCTGATTTCTTGATTAGCGGCTTAATCACATTCCTAATTAGTCGGGGTTGCCAACCCCGACTATTTAGTATATTAATTTTTAGGGTTTAAGGCTTCTAATTAGGGTTTAAGACCCTCCTAAATAGTCGGGGTTGGCAACCCCGACTAATTAGGAATGTGATTAAGCCGCTAATCAAGAAATCGGGTCGGTTTTGGTAAATAAAAGAAAAAAGGGTCGATTTTAATAATAAAAAAATTTAAAAGGGCTAAAGTGAAAAATTGTTCAAAATTGTTCCCAAAGCAAACAGCTAGGTCTCACGAGGATTAATTAGAGTCATTTAATTTAAACAATTGGCAAATATTAGAATAGAATTTACTTTAAAAGTACAAATAAACTATAAAGACTAAAACTATTTCTTAAATGTATTATCCTTCACTTAAAGTGTGATACACAGATATATATACCTGAAAATTCATATCTAACTTGGAAAGATCAAAAAGTTATTGTAATGAAATTCATACTGGTATCTAGAAATATTAGAAAATACTTTTTTTCCTTTTTTGTAATTATTTGCCTGGACTCAAAGGACTGCCCCTGTTACAAAGATATATAATTTCCAAGTCATTACTATTCAATAAAACTCAGAACGGATAAGAAAATTCTCAACAATCTACGCCTGATAATATGAATTCTAATATAAGAACAGAGTAGAGCACAAGCATGACCTGAACAAAGAGGCCATGGCTTCTTAGTTACTTTTAACAATGATTTGATTATGTGTTCATATCAGACCTGTTATAAACCTTCACTATCTTCTCTCTATGGTGAACAAAGGAAGGATCGTTACCCACAGTTAACTTATTACCATAATTATCCCAAGGTTTTCTGAAACTTACATCACAAACCAACAGCACTATGATGGCGTTTGGTTGCTTGCAAGTAATTGCAATGCAAGTGTGATTTTACAAGTCTTCTTACATGCAACTATAGTTGCAATTGTTTGGTTTAAAATTTAAATTTTACAATTTACAATTACAGGTGTTTGATTTTGCTTGTAACTTAAAATATGCAACTTATTTTTTTACCATTAATAAATCATTAAAGTTATTAATTTCTTTAATGCTTTTAAAATATATATTTTTCTAAAAAATTAATGGTTTTTATTATTAAGTAAATTGACTTTTAAATTTAAAAAAAATCATAAGAAAATATCTTTTAAAATTTTAATTTTAAAAAATAATATATCTTATAAAATAAAATAATCTTGTAAACTAATATTTTTTTGGTAAAAATATAGTTTTGTAAATGAATTTCATTAAAAATTAATTCCTTTCATAATTTTTTGAAAAATACTATTGAAATTTTTCAAAAATATATTTTAACAAAGTATAATACTATTCAAGGAAAATTTTTGTTTTTTAGAAAAATAATAATTTTAAATTTATTTTTTCAAAAAATAATAATTTTTAATAATTAGTTATTTCAAGAATTTTTCCAAGAATTAACATTTTTTCAAAAAAAAATTAAAGAATTATTATTTTTTTTTTAAATTATATTATTATAAAATTAATATATTTTAAAAACTAATTGTTGATGACTAAGATCACACAACCAATTAAATCTGTGGTTGGATGGGGTTGATGATTGATAAGAGGTCGCTTCCTTCCCTGAATATCCAATTCTAAGTTGAGTGGCTGAAGCCTGCACAAGTAGAAACTCGTGAGAGGACAGGTACTGGTTCCCCGTCATTCCTCCGACGGTCAAATCAGCTGGTGAGCTTGAGTGGAGAAAGCAAAGAACTGCGTGATTCTTGTGTGTAGTGGAATAAATGCTTAGATTCATAAGAAGAGGATCTCCAAAAAGATCAAACCTTTTGTATGTTAGAATAGTACCTCTATTTACACTGATGGTGAAAGGGTAGAACCGTCATTATGGCCGAGCACAGGATGGTGGTGAAGAAGCATGGGTTGGCGGCAGAGTCAGTTCCTGCTTTACAGTGCTCGGCTGGCGATAGGGAGAATCACTTCAGTCATTTAGGCGAAGTGTTGGACGCATATCCGGGCGACGTTGTCCGACTAAGTCGGTAAGAATCGGTAGAAGCATGATGGTGGCTGCAAGCATAATGAGACGTCGACATTGTTCAGGGGGAGAGGCCTCGGAGACTGAAGTCTTGTCCTCTAGCTTCGCGCATTTCGAGTCGTCCTCGTGAGGCGTCGAATAAATAGTCGAGTGGGCTCATGGCGAGTCATTTTCGACAAGAAGGCCGACAAGTTCCGCCATTCGAGTCGACACGAAGGAATATTTATTGGTCTTTAGCCGCCAATTTGATTGGGGCACTGCATTCAAAAGTACATCTGTCCGTTACTATCAAAAGGTTGCACTTTGGCGATTGAAAACACCACAGCACCAATATATTTTAGGAAAATATATTATTTTGAAAAATAGTATATTATTATTTAAAAATAATATATTTTTTCAAAAATAATATATATTTTTTAAAAATAAAAAATAATATATTT